TCTAGGAAGGTTCGTCAGAACCTGAATGTGAATTGTACCCTTCTATCTGAAATAATGCGCTGGAGTGCTCCATGTAGTCTATAAATTTGATGCAGGAATAGTTTTGCAAGACCTCATGAAGATGGGATCTTTTGACAAGGGATAATATGAACACTCTTGGAGAATAAGTCAGTCACCTCCCAAGTTACTGTATTTCCTGTGCTTTCGGGGAGTTCCACAATAAAGTCCATAGAAATCTCTCTCCAAGGTGCTGACGGCTCAGTTACTGTTTGAAAAAGACCCGGAGTTTTCCCTTGCCACCATTTTTCCAAGGCACATACCAGACAGATGGTGACATAGCTTTCAATGTCTTTTTTGAGGGATGGCCACCAAATTTGCCTCTTGACTAAATGCAATATTTTCACAAAGTCAAAATGTCTTGCTGTTTTTGAGTCATGACAACTCCTCAAAACCATGACTTTCTGGAACATAGAGCTTTGCCCCCACCCAGGCTAGCCTATCTTGGATTGAGCAGACATTGCTGTGAATCTGGAACCATTTATCATCCTTTAGGGCAGCTTTAAGGGCAGAGGTCACGCTCTTGGATATTGGATTTTTTTCTCTCCCCTGGACTCAGGTGGTCACTTGAGCTGCCAGCTAATGGGCCTGGAGCACTGGTTTGATTATTTCTGCTTTGGAGCAATTGTACTATGGCATATGTGACAGTGTGTCTGCAAGAAAATTCTACCCTCCTGGGAAATAGCGCAGGGAATGCGGTTAAAGTACTGTGCCCATTGTGCTTGTTTAGGAGAGAAGTTTGTAATGGGGAGAGCTATTTGGGCAAATGAAGAAATGAATTGCTGGTAAAAATTTGCAAATCCTAGGAAGCTTTGCAGTTGCTTCCTAGTTCAGGGTGGCGCCCAATCCAGTACAGCTCTGACTTTTACAGGGTACCTCTCAATCCCTTCATGTGAAATGTGATAGCCTAGGTCAGGGGTAGGCAACCTTGGCTCTTTTATGACTCGTGGACTTCAACTCCCAGAATTCCTGAGCCAGCCATGCTGAGGGGAAAGAGAGAGGTTTCCAAGCTGAGCCATGCTGGCTCAGGAATTCTGGGAGTCCATGAATCATAAAAGAGCCAAGATTGTCTACCCCTGGCCTAGGTAGTCTATTTTACTTTGGTGGAACTCACATTCAGAAAGTTGATGTACAGCTTGACAGTTCGTTTTTGGAAGACTAGTTTCACGTGTTCTGCCTTGGTTTCAGTGTAGATTAAAATGTCCAAATAAACAAGCACCTCCTTGTATAGATGCTCATGCAGGACCTCATTAATCAATTGCATAACACAGGTGCCCCCACCTGCAGTCCAAAAGGGAGTACTTTGAATTGGAAACAACCCAGCAGGCAATTGAAAGCAGTTTTCCATGTATCCCCGTCTCTGATCCTCACGCGGTAATATGCCTCCTGCTGGTCCAGTTTAGTAAAGATTTTGACATGGGTGAGGTAGACTACATGTCTTTCATCAGAGGTAGGGGGTAAACATTCTCTACACACACGATGTTTAACCCTCTATAATGCACAGATAAACAAAGAGTCTATACTTCTTTTCCCGAAACAAGACTGGGGCCGCAAGAAGAGGTCATGCTGGCTGAATGAAGCCTCGGGCCAAGTTCTTATCAATGAACAATCAGAGTTTTTCCAGTTTTCTGAGGGTCATTGAGTATAGCTTTGGCTTTGGCAATTTGGCACAGGGCAGGATTTCTATAGCACAATCAGTAGGTCTATGGGGGGAAAATTCATCCAAGCACCTTTTGCTAAACACCTGTCAGAGATCTCAATACTCCTTGGGATGACAGGAAGGTCCTTCCCCTGCATGACAGCCCCTATTTCATTCTTCAGGGTAGTCACCTTTCTAGGTTTCTCATAGGTTTGGGAGGAGTGGTTTATCAGAAACTTTAGCAGTCCTTTCCTCCAGTTCACATAAGGGTTCCACTTTTTTAGCTAGACAAGCTCTAGGACTAGTGGTTTTTTCCATTCTGGGTGCTACTGTGAAGCTCATGACTTCTGAATGTACAGCCATCTGCATTCCTATGGGTTCGTTGGCAAACGTTGCTGGGATGCCCCTCCGTGACAGAATCATCCAGCTGTCAAAATGCCAATTGCAACTTTTAACTGCCTCAGTCGGATTCCAGTTTCTCAACCAGTGTTGGATTTACTAAGCATCTGGTGCAGCCTGAGTCTAATAGAGCTCTGAGACTAGCTTTTAACCCAAACCCCGGGGAAACAGTTCTGTTATAACAGTCACTGGTATGACCGGGTCACTTACCAGGGGGTCAGACTCAGTATCCTTTAACCTTTGGTCATCGTCTGGTGGGGTCAAAGTTTCCTCAGCTCTTTTTGGTGATGGGGTGAACTCCACAACCTCCACTCCTTTTAGCGCCATCTCTTTGGCTCGTGGTTGCACTTTAATGGGCTTCCCTGTAGGGTTTGGGCTGGTCTTGGCTGGATGGCTGGTTTTGCATTCTGCCACTCAATGCCCACTTGGCCACATTTGAAGCAGGCGGTAGATCTGGCTTGCAAAGTTGGGGGTTTAGCCATTTTTTCTCTGGAGGGGATTTCTTCCTTGATCTTGCTGTGCTGTACTTGTTTCGGGCTTGGTCAATTTCTATTTCCTCAGCAAGCCCGCACCAGTTGGGCAAGGTCACAGGGGCCCGTCTTGCCACACAAACATTCAGCTAATGTGAATGTCTTCTGGCCAATTGAGTTGGCACGCCAGGTCTTCGGTGTACTCTGCTACAGCTCTGTGCCCTTGCTTTATAGTTTTAATGCAGTCTCTGGCTTTTTGGTCAGTGAGAGGATCCTCAAATCAGCAGTGGAGCGCGGTCATAAAACAATTGAAGTTTGTCAGCTCAGGGGCGTTCATATTGTTGAGAGTCACCATCCAGCAAGTAGCTGCTCCTTCCAGTGCCAACATGACACACCGCACCTTGGCACCTTTGGTAGGGATGTCTGGCCTGTACTCCTACATGTAAGTTAGAATGTGGGCCAGGAAAAATCCCAGTTGTTGAGAGTCCCCATCGAATTTCACACCCAGCGGTAGGACTTTCTTCGTGGGCTTGTGGTTCCAGCAACCCCCAATGCTGTGGTTCTGATAGGGCCTCTCGGCGTTGCTTCCATAGTTGCAGTGCCCCAGCTGGGATTGCTGAGATTCCCGCCGTGGTGTCTAATGGTGAGGCTCTCCTGCCATCATCCTCCTCGGGCTGGGCGAGCATCCCCAAAGGCCATCCTGGCTTGGGTCTTGCGTGCCTTGAGGCTCTGGAATGCTTCCATCAAGGAGCGCATGGCTTGCTTCATGAGGAAGTTGGCGTGATTACTTCGCCATTTTCTTCCTGTTCATGTCCGAGCTTTTCCAGCTCCGCTTGCCATTTGTGTCATCAGCTGCCTCAGGTGAGAATTACTCCTTTAGTTCTCCCTTCCCAATCATCTTTCTTCCTGACACCAATGGACCACCTGGGCTTTAATGAATCTCCCAGGCTGGCGACCTCCATCCATCTGGAAAGATCCGCTCCGGGGTTAGCCTTGGTAGAGGCTTCGCCCCAGCACTCAGCTTCCTTTTGGTCACTGCCGTGTGCAGACATTCCTTGCATGATCTCCAAAGTAGAGATGGGTGCCCCTCCAGGTTGACGACTATTGCAGATTCCGCTTAATGTAAGGACCTGCCTCAACTGGCCCTCTTAGGAAAGTACAACTCTTGACGCCATGTGGTTAATCAAAGTCAAGCAGAATCTAACATTCCCGTGTAAAGCCCAAGTTATTCTTCCCACTTTGAAACCCAACCCTCCTGACCACCAGTCCTGCAAGGTTATTTTGAGAACGCAAGGTTGTTTTGAGAATGCTGAGGTACAGGATAGATAATGGGTCATCCTCAGGATGCAGCAATCTTGGAGTCAGGCTGGAACCAGCTGGGAAGAAGTCCATTCCGTCTCCGAAGATGGAGACATGCAAACAATACTCCCAGGAGTATCCTCCCCCACTCCACCAGAATGGCAGGGCACCCAAAAAGGGGACCTAGCAATTTTCCATTGAAACTATGGTTAAATCGGACCATGTATTTTGAAATTAAAGAGCTTTCATTATGTCTTCTGATTGCTATATGATTTCATGGATATGTTCTGCTAGTCTTCTGGCTGTTTGTTCTATGTAGTGGCTGTTGTAGTCTTTTATACTGTATGTTGTGGATGACTCCTGTTTTTTCTTCTGGGCTGCTGAGTCAACAGACTGTTATAACCACATGGCATCAGCGTAGCACGCAAACCACAAACCAACTAAAATCCACCAAAACATCCTGAGTAAACCAAAAGACCCAACAACCCCAGAAGAATACAGAGGAGTCATTATCTTTAAAACCATATATGGAAACAACACTGGGATACATTATGAAATGCTTTTCCAGAATTGAATCTTCCGGTCTAGTCATCTAGAGAGGACCTGCTGAAACAGTCTCCTCTTCTCAAGAAGTACAGGGATGTGAATAAAACAATAGACATTACTCCATTTTGTAGAACAAAGTATGTGAGGCTCCCATTTTATTTACTTTCTGCTAACAAGTTAATTCCAGCACACCTTATCCTTGGCTGATTGGGCAACAGTACTTACCTTGGGTTTTGAGTTTAATTTTATTATTTTCCTTGGCATTTGTTGTATGCTCCCAAGAGTCTTTCGGGATTGGGGACAGTTATAATCAAAGTCAAGTGTAGAGTAGAGTAAAGTAGAGTAGAGATCCCCAACCCCTGGTTTGTGGCCTGCTAGCTGTCCATGGCCCATTGGAAACCAGCAGGTGAGCATGCAGAGCTCCATTTATGCATGTGTGGGATTAGGTTGCATGCTTGAAACCATTCCCCACTGCCCATTGCTGCTGTGGCTGGTCGATTGAGTGACAAAGGTTGGGGACCACTGTAGTAGAGAATAGCTCCCTCCCTCAATCACTTTTTCAGTTTAACATAGTTATTCCACTCTTTCAGATACCTGTTATTGCCCTTGTGGGGAATGATGCCTGCTGGACTCAAATTTCCAGGGAGCAAGTGCCCTTGTTGGGTAGCAATGTAGCCTGTGCTCTGGATTACTTAGGTGAGTTAACAGCCTGCATAATCTCATGTGCCTTATATTACCTAGAAATACAGGTGGTATGAAGGCAAAAGAGCCTGGGCTCTCAGGGAGGACCAGCAAAAGAGCATTTAGTTCAGCCTCTTGGCTTGCAACAAATTCTGCTTCTGTCCCAAATTTCTGATCTGATTTCAAATGGAACTGATCCCTACTGAGTACATCTGTTGGATTAAAACTAGAATGAACACCAGGATCTCAGATTCCCAGGCTGGCTTTATTTATACCATGTATTTTGTTCAAGTTGATAAAAGTCTCTAAGCACCTACAAAGATAAGCTTCTGTTTCCATCCTATAATATAGAGAGTTTGTGTATCCTTCTTGTCTGGAGTATTTACAGATAAATTGTATTATTTATAATTTGTAAATAATATTTATAAAGCTTATTTATTCAATAAAAACAGAATCTGATGCAGATAATCCTTGCTTAGCAACCAAAATTGAGACCAGCAGTTCTGTTGCTAAATGTTGTAGTCATTAAGTGGAAGATCACATGACCATAATGGGCTTATGATGTCACTTTCCATTGGGTTGTTAAGCAAAAATATTATGTGACCATAATATACAATTTTACTTCCATGGTCTTTGTTACCTCTGCTTGTTGCATGCTGGTTGGGATGCAAGTGAATAGTAATTATGTGACTGTGGGTGGCTGCAGCAGTTGTAAATGTGTACCAATTGCAAAGCACTTGAATGATAATCACATGAACACAAGCCACTGTGATGGGTTGTAAATATGAGGATTGGTCTCAAACCTATGTTTTATATCATGGAAACTTTGAAGTATTGAGGCAGCAATAAGCGAGGACTACCTGTATCCAGCTTCCTCACCCTCCTGTGTATCATGTATTTTGTCTTTTTTAAACAAAGCATGCACAATTCCTTTCTCCATCCTTTTCTTTATGCAAGGCTTAAACCCTCTAATAAAAGTTAGAAGTTAAGACGGTATGGTGGATAGATATTTAAAGATGACCTTGCAGTAGCAAAGCTTGTTGGGGAGAGGGGTATTGCCAACTTGGTTCCCAATCTAAATTCTTAGAGAGAAGGTTCCCTGTAGGATTTGCATAAAGCATGCTTTCTCCTATGTTGATGAGTGATGATTTTTTCTTTGCAGATTATCATGTGGTTGCGGAAGGTTTAGGAGGGAAAGGTTTCCTGCTCACATGCAAGAATGAGGACCAAATGGATGACATCATCCGGATAGCACAATCCAAATGCAGGAGTGGACAGCCCATCCTTCTCAATGCATTGATTGGGAAAACAACCTTCCGTGAAGGCTCCATTGCTATGTAGACTATGGCTGTGGCTGCAGTATCTGAGAGTTACATGTAACAGGCTCTGGCTGTGTTGATTCTGAGAGCCAGAATCACTAGCCATTGTTAATTCTTGCTATGCTTTTTTTTTTATATAAGAAATTTTATTGGATTTTTCATTTTTACATCAAAGTGCTTGAGAAACGACGTGGTGATGGGGATATCAATTGTTCAAAGACAAAGTCATACATATATAGCTCAGGTTAGTTCATTAGAAGTTCCCTCTCTGTTTCCCACATATAATATTACATATTAAGATTAATACATTTCTAAACAGAGTTCAATCAATCAAATCAGTCATCATTCACATTTCAGTTATAAAAATCCAAATCCTGTTTTTAAGCTTTACTAATTTACAATTACCATATTCCAATTAAGCTTAAATAAGCATATTATTGACACTTCGGGTGTATCTCATTTCCCTTTTCTCTAACATAATAATTCTATCTAAGATAAATATATTATTCCAACAACAACGTTCTTATGTTTTTCACATATAACCTATTTCTTAATCTAATAAATCATTTATTAATACTATTTCTTCTCTTGTCACAAATATCTCTTCTTCCTCTATTACAAAATAATTATCTTACTTGAAACAAAAATATCAGTCCAAAAAGTACATTTCTATCTATTTTGAATATATATTCTATCAATCAACCTATATCTATAAAAAATCTTTTTAACCCCATAAATGAAATTTTCCCCTCCAAATACTTATCATCTCTAATACAGGATATTATTATGGGAAGTATCCTTTTAGAAAATTCATGTACTTTATTTATTATTAAATCAGTCAAAATCTCTAAAGCCTTTTTAACCCATTAAGTGAAATTTTAAACCGCATTTTTAAACCTAACTCTAGCTTTCTTTCTGTGCCAAACTGGCTTCCATAGTAAGGCTTCTACGTCATCAAACCTCAACATTTGAATAAAAGTATTTCTCGATACTTCAGACTGGTCAAGGTTCTCTTCCCTTTCTTCCAATGTCATCTGAATGGTGTAATCAATTTTATTCCATGTTGTAATTGCTAGTTGATTGTCCACATTATCACAGTTTTCAGTGGCTTATAACTGGATGTCAAACTCTATTGTTTTTGGTGGTTCAATTAACTCAGTTAAGGTTATTCTTTGATCATCAAAGTTCTCCATGGATTGTATATAGGGTTGTGTAAAATTGATTTGCTCAGTAGTTTTCACGATTTCTCCCGGTGTAAGTTCATAATTGAGTTGTAAGTGTAATTCCTCTGTCTCTTTAAGTTGTATGTCTCGTTGAATAGAGGCCTCTTTGGGGTTACTCTGTTCTTCCTCTGTTATTCTTTGGTCTATAGCTTGATCCATTATTTGAGAGTTAGTTTGTGGTTCTGTAGTATCTTTGATTTTTCTCCAAGATTTCATATAAGTTTTCATATAGTCTGTAGTTTCCAAGATTTTTTCCAATATAAGTTCATAATCGAGCTGTGGGTAAGATTCCTCCATTTCAGTAGTAAAATAGTCTTTTGATCTTTTGATGGAGGCTATATTTAGCAAAGATCAACAAATATCCACCTCCAAAATTCTAGTAAGCAAATTCACCACCCAGCTGTTCCAAATCCTTTATCTTTTCCCTTTTGTTATCATTTGAAGGTCAAATCCATCTTCAAATAGCAAAAGGAAATACAATTGCAATGACACTTTTCACCACAAGTAGACTTTTACAGTCCTCATTGGACTGTAAAATCTTTTTTCCAAGTTGGTAAAATTTTATCTTTTTAGATAAATAGAAAGAGAAAAAACAGGTATCTCCTATATAATAAATAGAATAATAATAATATTTCTTTTTTTTCCAGGACCCCTAGGTATCCCAAAAAGGTTTAATAGTCAATAAAAAATAGCTATTTTATTTCTTTTAAGCTCTTTTTCCCAGGCAGACAGATGCCGCTCTCTTAGGACAGGGAAGTAGTCAAAAACTTTTTACAGGCAAATAGTCAGGACAAAAGAGAGAGAGGAAAGGTCTCACCCGGATTCATCACGGTGGTTCTTTATGCTTAGATGATCTTCTCACTTTTGGCTGGTGCGGCTGGGTGATCGGCCATTTTACTGGCCAATCTTCTCCGTCAGCTCTACGGAGCTAGCTCGGACCAGAGGGAGCCGCCACCCTCCGCAGCCGAACAGGAAGCTCCTTGAGGGTAGTCGCCCCTCCAGGGGTCTACCAGCGGAGGGAAGGTAGCCAGCGAAGAGATGAATCTCTGTGCGACTGAATGCGCCGCGATCCGGAAGCAGAAGTCAATTCTTGCTAAGCTTTGAAGCCTTCTGCCAATGCCTATTATTTCTGTTGTTTCGCTTTGCTTGTTTTTTTTTTTTTTTTTGTAAATGTCACTTTAATTTGGTGCTCTTTTTTTTTTTTTTTTTTGTTAACATGGTACGTTTAGCTTGGTAACCCTCATTGGTTGATCCTAACCTGCCAATCAGAAAAAATAAAGGAGGAAGTTTAATTCTTTCCTTTTACATTGTGGCAAAAATCTATTTCTTGGGAGAATATGAAAAACTAGAAAGTATATTAATAGCAATAGAATGATTGTGCAAATATAATCCAGTGAATACTCAAAATACCTTGTGATAAAAAAAATAATACAAATTTGTGACTATATTATACTATATTAAACTATACTATTAAGTTGTAGCTTAAAATATGTCAAATTACTTTTAAAAATTTACCTGGAAAAAATTAAATGTAATCATCAAAGCAACTTAAATGAACAAAATCAATATTTTCTCCTTTGGATTATTAATTAAATCTGTGTGAGTAAATATATTTATAATCTTTGAATGTTTTTTTAAAATGTGTAACAATTGTAGTTTGACAAAAGTTGAAAGTGATTTTATTAGACATTTCCATTGATATATATATTTTGCATATTTTGAACTTTTGTAGCTGCTAATTTCCAAAGTATTTTGACAACTTGGTCAATTGATATAATTTAATATATAACTTGATACATATTCGTAGTTTATCCAGATTATATTAATGATTTATATATTTTATAATGTGCTTTAAGGAATTTATTCAATACAAATCAAACATCAAATAAAATCCAATATAACTTCTTTACTTACTTTTCTATAGAGGTATACTGTCTCAGTATAGATAATTTGCTCTGAAATGGACATTGAAATAAATCTACACAGAACCACATCTTCCAAATTTAGTGGAACTTAATCCCAAGTGGTTCTTGATTGAATTGCAGTAAATGTTTGTCAAGCTTTTGAATATAATTAAGATATAAAATTAACATTTTTACTTTTGTGTGTTGTGTTTCTATTGCTGTCGCATAGAGACTCCTAGAGGCATTCCAGGTTAGAATTCTGATTTCTAATTCTAGTCTGCCATAAACGGATGACCTCTTGATGGAAATATATATATGAAAATGTTTCAGAGGACTAGTATTCACTGTAGTTTTTGTTATTTATGAACAGTATTTGATTTCTCACTAAAATACGAACATTGCTGTTATGAAGGTCAGTAAGTTGATCATCCTGTGGCAAAATATTAGGAAAAAAATAATTGTTAGAGAGCCTGGGGTGTACAAGTCCCATCCCAATACATGTTTTATTATGATTTCCTTGATGTTGGTGATTGGAGCTCTATGGACAATCACATAGCACAGACCTTTTCTGCATGTATGTTTAGGCCATGCTGTGAGGACAGTGCAGTTTAAACTTACGTTATTTCCTTATCAGCTGAGAAAACTGCTTAGCAAAGCAGCTTTCTGGATGAGCTTCATGCCTCTTGCCCCACTTTTTTGGGAGGGGAGTCTGCATTAGTTTCAAATATAATTATTTGAAGTTATGTGAGTGAATGGGCTCAGCATGCCAATTCTCGTCACTCAATATTTTTGGTCAGAATTGCTGGCTATGGGAATCTTCATGTCACCTCTAGCAATCATGAGGAAAATTGCTCTTCCAATGCAGTGATTCTTCCCGTTGTCCAGGCAATAGGAAGAGATCAGTGGACCACATGAGATGGATATCAGAATCCAATTATATTTCATCTCTAGTTATCAACTATAAAAAAACCCATTTCTGCCTTCTCGGGATTCTGTCATACGATGAAGGGAAGGGGGTGAACAAAGGGGCTTTATGGCCCTCACTTCCTTCAGTACACTTCAAAGGAACTGAATGTGGATAGCACCAAAAGGCCTAATCATAACAAAGGGGGCTATTACCTTTCATGTAGTTTTCTCTGAAGTCTCCATCCAGCCAGCAGTAAGGAAAAGGGGGTGGGAATGTAATGCCTGAGACTGTCACTGGAAGTAGGGGGTGATTGGGTGGGGCTACTGGGAAACCCCTTAAAACCTTGAATGGGAGAGCTTGGACCCCAAGTCCTGTCTAGAACACCTGAAACCATTTTCTCTTAATAAAGGATGCCTGTTGGAAGAATTATTCCAAGAGTTCTGTCTTCTTAAGATGCAAAGTGGGGTGGGTCCTTTATTAAGAAGAAGTGGTTGCAGGCGTGCTAGACAGAACTTGGGGTCCAAGCTCTCCCATTCAAGGTTTTAAGGGGTTCCCCAGTAGTCCCACCCAATCACCCCCCTCTTCCAGAGACAGTTTCAGGCATCACAATCCCACCCTCTTTTCCTTTCTGCCGGGTGGATGGAGACTTCAAAGAAAACTACATGAAAGGCAACAATTCCATTCTTATGGTTAGCTCTTTTGGCAATAAACACAATCAGCTGCTTTGAAGTGTACCGAAGGAAGTGAGGGCCATAAAGCCCCGTTGTTCACCCCTTCTCTTCATCGTATGGCTGTTCACATGTCTTAAAGCTGAATTCTTTTAGCAAATATGGAATTGAATTCATAAAGTGAAGGCTTTTTTTATTTCGCTTCCCTTGATTGGGATAACAGCTGGTTTAGCTAGGCTTATGGATATCTCATTAAGTTATCCCACATATTGCCTAAGTTCATGCCTTGTGCTAGGGCAAAAATGTATTTTACTTGGTTTTGGCTTAGTGTGTTTCATACCGTAAATCAGAGGTCCCCAACCTTTTTGGCACCAGGGATTGGTTTTTAAGAAGACAATATTTCCATGGACTGGGGGGAGGGGGGAGGTTTCAGGATGATTTAAGTGCATTAGATTTAGTCTAATTTTTTTAAATAAATAAATAATGCAATTTATTTCTATTATTATTACATTGTATTAGATTAGACCAGTGACTTTCTGCTTCTCAGAAAGTGGGAAGGAAAAGAGACAATCCTAAACTCAGCCTTCCAGCAAAACAAGCCAAAGACCCAGCACGGAGAGAGAGAGAGAGAGCACCCTCACAAACACATACCTTAGGGGGGAATCCACTTCCAACGAGGTTTTGGGGAAGCCCCCAGTTGCAAGCTGGGTGTCAGTTCCGACAGACAGAGACAAATAAAGCAGAACTCTGAGGCTTGCAATTCCTCAAAGAACATATTTATCAATACAAAGTATTGGCACTTCAAAAGTGAAACCAAGTCTGAAGGGATGCATAACAATTTCCGAATACAAAGTTAAAAAATCCCACCCCTAAGGCTATGCAAGCAACTACCTTTCCCCATACAGCTTGTTGGCAGGCTTTTCATGAAATGCCCAGTCTGCAGTTTTGGGAGCAGCCAATGACCTTGGTTCCCATGAGAGAAAGTCCAAAAGACAAAGTCTGTTTTGTCTAGCGCAACGCTGGCAACCCCCTCCTTCCGTGCTATGTATCAACTAGAAATGAGAAGGAAAAAATGGCTGCAACCATGCTCATTCAAAAGTTGACACTGGGCTGGTGCGCGCTTATCTTGCAAACTTGGAGACCTGCATGAAGGGAGCAGGAGTCCAACTGGGGTACCAGGAGGGGGAGAGGAGGAAAGTGAGGAAAAAGAGGAAGAAGAAAAAGTAGGAGGAGGAAGAAGCAGGAAGAGAAGTAGGAGGCAGAAGAAGAGAGCACAAAAAGCAGGAGGAGAAAGAGGAGGAAGGATGCGGGGTTCAGATGTTGCAAGCCAGTTGTGAGTGCTGCCACTGAAGAACCTTTGCACTGAGCAAGACGGCTTCTACCCTGCCTCTCTCCCACCCCTGTAGACTCACCACATACCTCTAGCTGCACGGCCTGATTCCTAACTGACTAAGGCCCGGTACCAGTCCTTGGACCAGGGGTTGGGGACCCCTGCCATAAATAGCCATTGTTTTTTGTAGGAGAATCCTTGGAATGTTTCCTGTTTTTTAGATGGTAGGATACCTTCTTGCTAATAAAACATTTTTCAATTTTCCTGTTATTTCAGTCATAGTCATTTGCCAATTTGATATGAGGAGGCAGGGCCAACAAATTTGGAGTGCTTGGGTATGGTTAGGAAGGCACTGACTTTTCTAGCCTGCCCTATGTTTCCTGGTAAAATACATGGTAAAATCGCAATGCAGGAAAATTCCACTAGGGCAGTGGTGGCGAACCTATGGCATGCGTGCCAGAGGCGGCACTCGGAGCCCACTCTGTGGGCACACATGCCGTTGCCCCAGCCTTGCCTCCCCCCGCGACCCCCTCACCAGCAGCCCCCCTGGAGAAGAATTGCCCCGAGCGTAGCCCACACAGAGCAGCGTAGCCAAGGACATGGCAACCAGGCAGCATAGAGAAGACTCTGCTCTCACACCCCATCGTGCACAGTTGATGCTGTGGGGTACGGGCAGAGGGTGTGGCCGCCATGGTGCTGCTGGGCTGCCTGGGCGATCTGTGGTGGACCCTGGAGGCAGTGAGTGGCCCTGTGGGCAAACGGGGTAGAGGCGGGGTGGGACGGGCCAGGAGTTGGAGCAGGGGCGGGGCCAGTTTTTGGGCACTTGGTCTCTAAAAGGTTGCCATCACTGCACTAGGGTTAGGGTTAGGTCACCATGAACTCATAGAGCAGGGCTTTTCAACCTTTTCACAGATTGTACCATTTTTAGGACATGACAATATTTGAGTACCACCAGTTCTTAGCAAGGTGTCAAAAGGGGGGGGGGATTTTGGGTTTTACTGATTAGATTCATTTGTTGTTATAGAAATGGCTAGTTTATAATATTATGAAAAAGTAAAAAATTGAGGTTCAATGTTAATGCTTCCTTCTACTGCAACAGAGGAAGTATGTTCTTTTTCCCTTCTCCCCTCACTTTTCTCCCTTTTTCCTCCCCACAGTGTCCTACTATTTGCTTTTGTGTTTTTGTATTTTATTCTATAATCTAATAAAATATTACAAACTAAAGAAAAAAGTACCAGTTTTAATTTCTTCTGTGCTGTTGCTTTGCTGAATCACTTTCCCTTTGCACTGACAAATATATGATGAATTCAAACTTGGCACTTTTATGACTTGTGGACTTCAACTCCCAGAATTCCTCAGCCCTCATGACTGGTTGAGGAATTCTGGGAGTTGAAGTCCACAGGTCTTAAAATTGCTAAGTTTGTAGACTCCTGAGCTAGCTGGTTGGTCCTTTTGAGTTTTTCTAATCCCTTCCCTGTACCCTTAAAGACACAGGAATAAAGTGCAAAGCAAGAAAATAAAGAAACACAAACTCCGTTTTTTTTTCTCTTTAAGCTGCATCAGACGTGTCACAAGTCACAATGTTTCAATCCTTGACTGAAAGGCTCTGGCAATTGCGAAAAGCTTTAGCTTTAAATTAAACCTGTTTACCTTCAAAGAAAACTTTCTAAAAGCCACAGATAGACTCAATTAAAGGGGGTAAAACTAATTACATTTGTTTAAAGGGATTAAACCTTTCCTGATGTCTTTTTTCCCCTTCCCCCACCCAAACCAGTTCTTTTATAGCCTCTCCTCTCCCCCCTTTTCTTCAGTTCACCTCCAGCTCCAAGCTGCTTCTGGAAGCGCCAATCAGCTGAAGCCAATCAGCTGGAGCCCTGTCAGCTCCTGGGGCTTCTGCCAAGCCCAGACATTCCTGCAGCTGCAGCTGCCTCTCCCTCAGGCTTGGCTCGCTTTGGCTCATTCCCCTCCCCTGCTATACTTGGCTAGTAATCATGTACCACCTGCCATGTGGCAAAGTACCAGAAGTGCTACGCGTACCACTGGTTGAAAAGCCCTGGATTAAACAACTGGAAGATGCTGAGGGGATTTTACAACATCGGAATGAAGAAAAGAAAAAAATAGCTTGGGAATATTATGAGAACTTATATAAGCAACAAACAGTTTCAGATAATAGGATAAAACAATTCTTGGAAGAAACAGAGATACCTAAAATACCAGACAAATTTAAAAAGTTACTAGAAGGGAAAATAACAATGATAGAATTAACAGAAGCAATTAAAAGGCAAAAAAAATG